GGGCGGGCGTCCCCGTCCCCGCCAGAGTGGCGATTCCTCGGCTGGCACACCCCAGCCTAGCTTCCCAGGTCTTGGCCAGCCTGGCCACGGGAGTGTGGGTGGAGCAGTGAGGGGTGGGGGTGGCCCTGGGCACACAGACGTGGCTGGTGGAAGCAGGTGCTGGGTCTGGGTCTGGTCTTGTGGAGCTGAGGGGCAGGAGACAGTGAATGTCTCCCCACCAAGGACCCCCGAAAGTGAGTGGACCCTTGGCCCTGCTGCCCTCCGTGCCTCTGCCCCCAGCGCAGCAGCCTGAAGGCCCCTGGAAGCACAGGGTACCTGCTGGGCGGGGGAAGAGGCCGCGGCCGGTCCAGAGAAAGAGCACACCAGACAGCTCTATCTGCACGGCTGCGTGGGGATGGGCCGCCAGGGCAGTCGCCCCATTCTCCACTTTTCTTCATCCCAGCCTCTGCCTCATGGCCGTGCAGCGGGCATGATGACCAAAGGACAGGGTCTATTTTCCCGCTCTGGCCGGGTCTGGTCACCTGACTTGCTTTGGCCCACAGTCTGCAAAGGTCCCATCCATTGCTGTGTCTGCATCTCTGCCTTCACCAGGCCCAGCCTGCAGGAGGGGTACAAAGGACACAAGGGGGAACCAAGCCCTACTCTGCGTGACGAGCACCTGCAGGAACTCACAGCTGGCTGGCCCAGTGATTGAGTAAGCCCACTGACCAGAAGAGCTGCCCGCCTGGACTGCTGGCCCGCAGGTCTGTGTGCTAGAGCAGTGAGCATTGTCTTAGGCCACTGAGTCTTGGACTGTTTGTTACACGGCATTACTGTGGCAATGGATGACTGATACACATGTTCACAGGGACCTGGTTTCTGGAGGGTCAGAGCAGAAGGCCATCTTGGTTAACTCGGCCGTTTCCCTAGCAGATCAGGCGTCAACACAGGAAGGCAATCCTCTTGTACAAGAGCAAAGTGGATGGATGTCCAGTCCCTCCCTGCCACCCCAAGGGTCTCAAGAGATGGGCACTGATGGGGCTCTAGGACAGTCTGCCCGAAAGGCTCCTGGACAGAGGATTGGAAACTCAAAAGTGTCTAGCAACAGGTGACAGGTGTCCTTTCAAGGGCACTGTCCAGCAGCACCTGCCCTCTGTAGGAAGAGCTGAGAGGAGGAGGGGCCCTCTGGTGTCCCCAGGACCCTCAGCACATCAGAGGCTCTCCCAAGGAGGGGTTCCCATCTCCCTGCTGCCCCCATCCAGGAAGTCCGTTCCATGCCATGGCCTGGCATTTTCAAGCAGGCTGGGAGTGCCTCCAGCCCAGTTCCTGTGCTCTGGCCTGTCCATCTCAAAACCCAGGAGAGCGGGCTGGGAACACCTGCTCCACACCCAGCACGGAGCCCTGAGAGCCGGCTGTGCCACTGCCGCTGCCCTTGGTCCGAGCCCTGAGAAGGTGACCCGCGTTCACAGATGGCCCGACGGAGGCATAAGAGTCTGGGTCACCGTTTCAGGTGCCTCCATCTTAGCTGGCCAGTTAATATCCCCACTCCCCTGGGACACAGCGTATTCTCTTCAGGAGATCCTGCGTGCACACGCACACACACACGCTCACTCAGCTCCCAGCTGGTTGCTGTATGTGGGGCTGACCTTAAACAATGCCAAGGACCCCTATATCAAACGAACCCCCCTAGCTAAGGGCAAACTGTGGCTCAGGCTCATGGGTAGAGAAGCACTGCCTTCACCACCAAGAGTGTAAAACATCTGACTGGTCAGCGTTCAAAGCTCCGGCTCCCCGTCCCCCGCCACCTTCCCTCCTCCAGCCTGAGATGAGCGGGGCGTGGCTGCGTTCGCCGCTTTGGCAGGCGTCTCTCCGTGTCGCAGCTCTGGCGGGGAGGCTGTGGGGAGCATGTGGCTCACTAGGTGAAAACGGCCTGGTCAGGAAGCGGGTCGGGATGTTTGTGCCTGGGCTGGACGGGGCCCCCGTTCTGCACCCCTCGGCGCTGGTGGGTGATGGAGGCCTTCTCGCTGTCCCTGCTTTCCCTGTTGCCTGGCAGTGCCGCTCAGCCAAGAAGCTGGAGGAGATCCGGGGCGCGCCGAAATCCTCAGGCAGCCAGCCCGGGGCCCAGCCAGCTTGCGTCTCAGGCGCGGTGGCCGGACCCTGGCTTCGGCCTTTCGGGAACTGGCCTTCCTCAGGTGGCTGGTGAGTTTCACGTCTGTCACCTCTGGACTCCAATTCTGTCGCTGTGACGTCCTGCTCACACTGCCCAAAGGCATGTCTCTCTGGCTTCTACTCCCAGGCCCTCCACGCCCCCACGTGCCCAGGACTGTGGGGAGAGCCCCAGGACGCCCAGCACAGGGTGCCCGACCTATCTGCGGAAGCCGAAGCCTTCCCGAGGCGACTTCGGGCCCTTCTTGCCCCCACTCTGGGGCTTGGGTGATGGCATGTCCACCGTGCCCCCGTAGGGACAGCTCTCCGACCCCGGGTGGTGACCCGTACACTCCACGGCGGGCAGGTAGCCACTGTCCCACACGCCTGAGCCGCAGAGCTTGCACAGGTCGTGCAGGCTGCAGGGGATCCGGGGCAAGAGGCGGAACTGGTACAGGAGGCTCCTCGCCTGCAGAGGGGGCGGGCAGGAGGTGCAGCTGGCACCGAGGGTCCCCGTAGGGTGCCCAGGAGCAACAGCGGCCAGGCCAGCCCCAGCTCTGCCCTCAACCTCACTTTGCACCGCTGGGCAGGGTGGGGCTCTTGGTCTCTTACAAGCGGCTGCAGTGAGAGGACCCTCGGCACCTCTGGCTGGTAGGGCCCATGCTGCTACTGCGCCTGCCTGGCCCCACAAGGTCCAGTCGGTCTGTCCAGCGGGACCCCTCTCTGATTTGCCCCCCCACGACCAGTTGGGCCACTGTGATCCCGGGCACCCAACTCTGCCCATGGCAGCACCGTCAGCCCCTGCAGGGTCTGGAAGGCAAGGGCACCGCTGAGGAGCGTGGAGACAGCTGTGCTGGGACGCAGACAGGCCAGAGGGCTACTGCAGGTGCCAGCCCCAGAGGCCTTGGTGAGGGTGCCCAGTCTGGCTGGGTGGGGCTCCCCATCTGAGGGTGAGGCCACGCTCAGGGCAGGCCTGTAGGTGGAGAGCTGGGGGCTGGGTGAGGCCATGGGCAGGACGCTGTAAGTGCAGGGGGTGTCAGTGTGTGGGAGTTAGGGGTGAGGCCACGTGCAGGGCCGTGGGATGCTGTAAGTGTGGGGGGTGACAGTGTGTGGGGGGAGTCAGGGGTGAGGCCACGGGCATGGCGCTGTCAGTGCGAGGGGTAGCAGTGTGTAGGGGGACAGGGGTGAGGTTACGTGCAGGGCGGAAGGACACTCTAAGTGCAGAGGGTGGCAGTGTGTGGGGGTCAGGGGTGAGGTCCACATCGCAGAATGAGGCCACGTGCAGGGCCGTGGGGTGCTGTGTGAAGGGTGGCAGTGTGTGGGACCAGGGGTGAGGCCACATTCAGGGAGGTGGGGACAGTGTGTGGGGGGCCCAGGGGTGAGGCCACGTGCAGGGAGGTGGGACAGTGTGGGGGAGCAGGGGTGAGGTCACGTGCAGGGCTGTGGGGCGCTGTGTGGGAGGCCGGGGGTGAGGCCACGTGCAGGGAGGTGGGACAGTGTGGGGGAGCAGGGGTGAGGTCACGTGCAGGGCTGTGGGGCGCTGTGTGGGGGTAGCAGTGTGGGGCCGAGGGTGAGGCCGCATGCAGGGCAGCAGGGTCCTGTAGGTGGGCCGCCCACGCGAGGTGGCCTTGCCTGCGGGCACTCACCTTCCTGAGCACCAGTTCCCCGCTCATGTGCATGGCCAGGTTCCCGAAGTGCAGGAGCATCTGGTCAGTGGCCAGCTGCTGCTCGATGACGTCGTCCCCGTAGATGGCCACGATGGCCACGCAGATGAAAAGGTGGAAGTAGTCCGTCTGCAGGAGAGCGGGGATGAGGCGGGGGCTCGGGCGGGCAGGGTGCGGGGAGAGCGGGGCTGAGGCGGGCAGGGTGCGGGGAGAGCGGGGCTGAGGGGAGGGGGTTGGGTTTGGAGCCTGTGCCTTTGGGTCATGGGTCCTAGCCAAGAACCTCTTGCGGCCTGTTTCCCCCTGCAGTGGGGCCATGGTCAGTACCCACGGCCCCAGGCTGTGTGCTATCCAAGAGGAGGACGCCTGGCACCCGGGCTGCCGGGACCTGTCTGGGCAGCTCTCTGGATGGCAGGGACGCCCTTCCTCTGAAGACTGCCCATGCTCATGCTCACAAAGCTCGTGGGAGACGGCGGGGTGCTCTGGTGGGGCACCAGTAAGGAGGACCCTTCCAACAGCCACCTTCTGTCCCGGCTGATTGCTGGCCTCCAGACTGACGCGCCACCCAGCTCATGCCCCAAAGAGGGCTGCTCCATGGTCACTCGGAGGGCAGGAAAGCCCAGCTGCAGCGTCCTGCTGCCGCCGAGATGCCGTGCTCTATAGGCCGGGACCACCTGGGAGGCCTGGGTTCGATTTCGCGTCCAACCTAAAGGCCAGGTGCGGGGCGTGCCTGTGGGCCCGGCCACTCGGGGTGCCAAGGCAGGAGGGTCGTGGGTGCTGGCTGGGACAACATAGCGAGACCCTGCCTGAAATGAGCTGGCGTGGTGGGGCGTGCCTGCGCTCCAGCTGGGAGGCTCAGAAAGGACCATGACAGTGACGCCTTGTCTTCAATGAATGATAACATAAATAAGAGAATGAATTAGACCCTGCCGTGGGCGCGGCAGCTCCCTGGTGGTTGCAGAGCGGCTGAATCTGCTGAAGCTGCCACTGCCCTCCTTTAAGGTCAGTGGGCAGCAGAAAGCCCACGTGGGGTCCTGGCCAGGGCTTCCTGTCCCCGCTCCTGCCCGGAAGCCACCCAGCCGCTGCCTTTGATGCATGCTCGCTCCCGGAGCCAGAGGGAAAAGCAGGAGCTCCGGGAAGTCCGTGTTTAGTCTCCTGACGTCGACCACCCAAAACAGGCTGGGCAGAGCCGCCCACATCCCGTGGGGGCCGTGGCTGCCGACCCCACGGCCCGCCTGCTCTGGGAGACCACCCCAGGCTGCGCAGCCTCTTCCTCCAGTACATCCGGATGAGCTTGTTTTGGCTCCGAATGGCCCTTCACATTGACCTGAGCCTAGCTGGGCGGGAGGGCGGCGGAGGTGCAGGAAGGTAAATGCCGGCTTCCCTGGGAGACAGAGGTGCTGGAGAGCGAGGCTCGTGTCTCCCAAGAGGCTGGGCGGCAACTCGGCACAGTTCCAGCTTCAGGCGCAAGGTGGTCTGGCCCCACGGCCGAGGTCAATAGGCAAAACAGCCTGTTCTCACCCTGGGGCGCTTCGAAGTTAATGGCACAGCCTGGCAGTGAGCGTACCCCAGAGCTCACCCGCAGCTCCTACCCACCCTCACCCCCCGCCCGGCTAGTTAGATCAGTGGATAGGACCAAAAATCCCGGAACTGAGCCTGCAGTTTGGACACTCTCTCGCCTGGAAAGACATGGGTTAACAGGCGCCCAGGTGTGGCCGGTAGGAGCAGCGAGCTCCAGCAGGGCAACTAGTTAATAACCCCTGGGGCAGCCCCACGGTGGGGTGGCGGTTAGCCTTGGGTCCAGGGAGCGCATCCCAGGGCTGATCACAGTTTGAACCCTGCCCCTGGCCAGACAAGTGGCTGGATCCACATGGTAAACTGAGTGTTTCGTCCTGGACCCAGTGGTTTGAAAAATATGCCAGGCACATGTGTGTGTCCAAAATCCAAAGAGGAGAATGGAGAAGGGTGTAGTGCGGTCATCCCCCATGGGAGGAGGAAGAATGCCTTCTCACTTCCTCTCACTTCCGCTCTGTCTCTCTGGAAGGGGAAACAGGAAACACCCCAGACACGTGCATGTGCGCTCCCAAACCTGACAGTGAAGTCGCGGAAAAGGCTGGTAGTGCGACCACGCCCCCCGGGGGCTGCTTTCTTGTCCTCTCTGGCCAGCGCTCATGTCCTCTGGCAACAAAAACACAACTCACTGTGCGTGCCTTAAGAGCTGAGAGGGTTCTGGGTGTTCCTAACACGGAACAGCGACGGATGTGTGGGGCGTGCGGATCTCTGACTCCATCATCTCACATGGTACCCCGGTACTGGGGAGTCAGCACCCCCAGATGCACAGCTGCATATCAGGTCAACCACAGACTCGCCTGGTGGGCTTCCCATGGAACGGCCCCCCATGTGCAAGGGGCCCCCTCGTCTCACTCTGCCTACATTTCGTTCAGGTGGGAGGTAGGACAGCGGCGAGTCGCCACGAGGAACGGCCCATCGGCCGGTGATGCCCAAGGTTAGCGTAGACTGCGTGGGGCGAGGGGGACGAGAGTGCTGCTCCGGTGAGCTGTGATCCCACGCTGGGGTACCTGTGCCAGCGCTCCCTTCATCAGCACAGAGCTCTCACCTGAACACCCAGAGTGACGGGTGGAGCCTGGCCACCGAGCTGGGAAACGTGGCCCGACCCGGGCTGGCCCGAGGACAGGTGAAGCCAGCGTGGGTGCCCACGCTACCTTTGGCACCTGCACCAGCTGGGCTCCCATGAGGTCACGGGAGGGTGCGTGTCCTGGGCCCGTCTGCGAGGCTGGTCTGACGGAAGCCGCGAGGGCGGCCGCAGTGGCTCAGGGGTCCTGGGTGCAGCTGAAGGCTGAGGGAATCAGATTCGTCTGCCCTCTGGCGTCTCTAGCTGCTGTGATCGGGCGTTAAAGCGCGTCTCAGCCAGGCTGGGCTCTGAGGGATTTCTCCAGCAGACGCCGACAACAGTGACTAGGGCTCTCCAGAGAGAGATCTCAGTCCTCTCCCCGAGCAGTTGACCGGCGAGTTGGACTAGGGTGGCAGAGCAGTCCCAGGGGAAGGGGGCAGGATGGGTGGTGCTAGCTCCCGCGCACGTGGGCTGCAGCGGCCTGGGCCACCGTGGCTTGCTCAGCTCTGCCGAGGCCTCTCACACTGATTGGCCGTGACGGGGAGCTGAGCCGCAGAGTGTGGTAATGAGTGCGGTCAGTGGGCAGTCTGCCTCTGCTGCGGTTACCGGGAGGGAGTTGCCAGGTCTGAGGTCGGCCACGTGGGCTGGAAAGTGATCGCTATGGGAGGGCTGCTGGTGGCTGTGGGTGGGTAGGTGAGGGCGAGGAAGAGGGGTTCCCAGAGGAGGTGCATGGTTGTGCTGGCACCCCGGCCTCCTGGAAGGCAGGGTGCAGGATGGTGGCAGTGGTCCCGGCCGGCCATCCCTGGCTCACCTGGTAGTGGGCCCAGCAGGCCTCCCAGATCCGCAGAGCCTCGGCCTCAGGGAACTCCCGCTTGAAGCACAGCAGCAGCCAGCGGTGGCAGAAGAGCATCTGCAGGCCGTCCTCGCCCAACGCCACCAGGTGCTGGTAGAAGCGCAGGTGCGTGAGCCGCAGCAACTCCCGCAGGTACAGCTGGAGGTGACCCGGGACGCATTAGCCCGGCCCACGCAGGCTGCCCCCACCCCCGTCCTCAGGCCGTCTCCATCCAGGTGAGCACACAGGGAGGTCTCGACGGTCACGTCTGCTGCCGCTCATCTGCCGTCTCACAGGGCCCGGCCCACGCCGGCCAGTTTGAGACTGGAGGCCCTGGTGTGCCGGGCAGGCTGAGCCAGACCTGCAGCCGCATTGCCACACAGAGCTCCTTCTAATACTGCCCGACCTGGCAAGGTGAGCGGGTCACTGCGAGACCCCAGCCCGCTTCTCCTGAGCCGTCATCTTTTAGGGCGGATTTACAGCAAAAAGGGGGCACATGGGGGCCCCTGCCCCGCCGCTGCTCACAAGGCGCGCCGTGTGCGGCTGCGGGCTGTGGGGGCTGTGTGGTGTCGGGCCCTGGAACGGCCTCCCAGGCACCATGGAAACCAGGCACCGCGTAGGTGTGGGGTGATGCCAGAGCTGCGGGCCCAGCTGTCCCATGAGCAACCCACTGTCCCACCGGTGGCCAGTGCTGTGGCTCCCCATGGGGAACTGGTCCCAAGGATCTCCACTCTGGTGTGCGGCTGCGGGCTGTGGGGGCTGTGTGGTGTCGGGCCCTGGAACGGCCTCCCAGGCACCATGGAAACCAGGCACCGCGTAGGTGTGGGGTGATGCCAGAGCTGCGGGCCCAGCTGTCCCATGAGCAACCCACTGTCCCACCGGTGGCCAGTGCTGTGGCTCCCCATGGGGAACTGGTCCCAAGGATCTCCACTCTGGACCCACAGGTGTCAAGTCCACAAAGTGGCTGCTCCTTCACAGATGCCCCCCAACACACACACCAGGTGCTCCTCGCCACGGCAGCCAAACCTGCCACGCACCTCCCGGGCACCTCCACACACCAGGCGCTCCCCACCACGGCAGCTGGACCTGCCACGCACCTCCCGGGCACCCACACACCAGGTGCTCCTCGCCACGGCAGCCGGACCTGCCACGCACCTCCTGGCCCCAGCAGTTCAGCCTGCTCTGTCAGCTCCCAGGCTGAGCTTCCTCCTAGCCTGGAGGGCAAGACCAGGCTGGGCCTGGCCACAGCACTGGCAGGTGCTTGGCACTGACAGGCGAGAACATCAATGGAAGACTTGGCTTAGCCCCTGGGCCACATGCCGACCCTCCTGGCCCTTTCTGCCAGCCGAGCTGCCACCTCCCCTGGCATCCAGTGCTGCCCGCTCTGTGCAGAGCGGATCTTTCTAAAGAGGCCTGGAGGGCGGGAGGGGCAGGGGGAGCCTGTTCCAGGGGTACCCAGTGGGCCTCAGGGTGCCGTGGGAATGTGACTGTGGGGGGCCCAGCCCAG